TCAGTTAATTCGGTAAAAATCGAGTTCAAACACCCCTAAAACTAAATTATATATATAATATTAAATATTTAATAATTTTGATTAATTCGGTAAATTCGGTTAATTAACTGAAACCAAAATTTGAAAAAAACATTATCTGTTAACCAACCGAACGAAAATTAACCTATCGATCAACCGATTGAAATTTCAATTCGATCGATTAATTCGGTTTTAACCAAACAGTGAACACCGTAGGTGTTAGCATGCGATCACACCTTCAAGTTTTTGAAGTTTTATATAATGGGTAAGTTATACCATTTGTCACTAAATTTTACTCTCTCTCCTCTTTCACTTGTTATGTTTTCAATTTTTTTAATTTACTTATAACTTTTGAATTGCTCCTATTTTAGTCACTACACATTATTTTATTATTATTAGTCTATGACATGGCATTTCTATATATTACTAAATATAAAAATAATTTAAAAATAATAATAAAATAAATTTTATTATTATTATTATTAAATTATTTTTAAAATGATTTAAAATAATCACCATCCCTTCTCATCATCTTCGATCATGATCTATGTTTAATTTTATATTTTAAATTATTTTTATATTAAATAATAATAAAAAGTTTCTTGTCGTATCAAAATAATAATAAAATAATTCAGAATGGCCAAAACAATATCAATTCAAAAGTTCAATGAGTAAATTGAAAAAATGAAAGCACAATGATTGAAATATGAGAGAGTACAATTCAGTGATAAATGGTGTAGTTTACACTTATACAATTTAAGGGTTCATTTCATTTTCAGTTTCTTAGAAAATAAGAAAAATAATGAAAATAAAAAATATTTTTAGTATTTTCATTAAAATTATTTTTGTAAATTTAAAAAAAAGAAGAAAAAAAATACATGATATAGATTTTCAACTTAATTTGCATAAATTCAAATCATTTTTACAATAATATGTTGACTTAATAATATCTAAAACCGTCAAATTTTTACAACAAAAATCAATATGTTCCATAAACGTTTTACACTCAATTTGGTCCTAAAATTGTTTTTTAATTATTTAATTTTTAGTATTTTTACATTTAATATATTAAATATCTTAATAATTTCTTATATGTTATATGTTATATTTTAAATTTAAATAATTTAATTATATTTAAAAAAAAAATGAAGTCCTTAAACTTTCTAAAAGAATCAATTAGGCCACCAAACTTAGCCAAAAATTCAATTAAGGGTCCGTTTGTTTCACTGAAAATATTTTCCAGAAAACATTTTATGTAAAATGAATTACATCTTCTGGAAAATATTTTCTGAAAAATGTTTTATGGTGTTTGGAAGATGTTGTGTAAACCATTTTCACTAGTTGATAAATTTTTTAGAAATTATTTATTGCAAATATAAAATATAAAACATAATAAATAATATTATTTATTATTTAATATAAAAACTTAATATTATTATTTTAAAAATATTAGAATAATTTATTTAATACTATTTATGCCATATTATTATTAAAATATTATTTCTATAATTTTATAAATAAAATATTAACTCTAGTATATTCTATTAAAATAAAAATATGATAATTATATTGAATATCTATAAAATAAAAATATTATATTATATTTTAAATTATTAATAAATATATTTTAAGGATTTTTATAATATTATTAGACTATTATATTAATATTAAATACATAAATAAAAGTATTCACTATTAATAATTCAATAATATTTTTTTAAGAAATTAAGAAATATAAATTTTATTAATATTTATATAGTATTAAATAAGAATATAATAGTATCATATATTATTATAATATAATTGAGTATATTATTGTTATAATAATATTATTATATTATATTATTAAAAATATTAATAAATATATTTTAAACATGTTAATAATTAATATTTTTTATTAAAATGATACTAAAATATCATATTACTATTAAATTTATAAAATAATATTATTTTGAGTATTTATGATTTGAAGTGAAAATTTTGAAAAATGACTTACGGAAAATTAAACCGTAAGTCATTTTCCAGAAAATGCAAAGAAGATTCTGTTGACTAGGAAAATATTTTACATTGACCAATCTGTTTTCCTCCAACCAAACACTGAAAAGTGAGGAAAACATTTTCCTGAAAATATTTTACGTTAAACAAACGGACCCTAAGTTCATCTGCCACGTCATCATCCATCATGTACTATCACAATAATATCGTGAATTATCACATCAATATTATATATTATCATGTAAGTTTTATGAACTAACATGTAAGCAATATGCATTAACATTATATTATAGCAATAGTTTAATAAAACCAATATACATGTGATTATATATTATTGATGAGGCATGTCGAAGGAGACCCAAAAAAACGACGGATTTTGTACGATAGGACGAGGCATATCGAAGGAGACCCTAAAAAACGACGGATTTTGTACGATAGGACGAGGCATATCGAAGGAGACCCTAAAAAACGACGGATTTTGTACGATAGGATGAGGCATATCGAAGGACACCCAATAAACGAAGGATTTTGTTCGATAGGAATGGATTGAGAATGTGTGGATGAATGAAATGCTCTAGCCTTCTTTCTTATACTATTTCTCTCTGTTCTTCTTAGTTTGTTACTACATTTCCTTTAGCTTTTACGTTCAAATTTAAGCATCGGCCTTTCCCCCGATGGACGTCGAAGTCAAGTTCCGCCTCCAGGACGCCGCCGTCCACCGTCGATTAACCACCATCCTTTCTCCTTTCCGCGCCGGAACCCTCCATCAACAGAACTTCTTCTTCGACACCCCAACAAATACCCTTTCCTCCCGACTTTCCCTTCTTCGCATCAGCTTCCACGAGGAGGAAGCCCGCTGCATCATTTCCCTCAAATCCAAACCTACCCTGGTAGACGGTGTTTGCCGCGTGGAGAAAGATAAGGAGGAATTCGATCCGTGTATTGGACGCGCTTGCGTAGAGGACCCTGCGAGGTTGGCGAGGATCGAGTCCAGTATTATGAAGAGGATTAGGGATGAGTTCGGGGTCGGGGAAGGGGTGAGTTTCGTTTGTTTGGGTGGGTTTGAGAATAAAAAAACGGATTTTCATTGGAAAAATCTGAGGGTGGAAGTGGATGAGACTAGGTATGAATTCGGAACGTACTACGAGATCGAATGTGAAAGTGAGGATCCTGATGGCGTCAAGAAATTGCTCGAGGATTTCTTGAAGGAAAATGGGATTCCTTATTCGTACTCTAAGATGACAAAGTTCGATATTTACAAGTCTGGTGAGCTACCCAAGTGAAGTGATTTCCAGCGCTGAGGTTAGTTGAAAGATAGTTGCAGGCAAGGGTGGTTAACGAGTGTAGCAGCTTGTGAGCAGTTTAAATTCGATTCGATTAAAGTTTGGTAAATATTTTATTCTAGTTGACTAGATTTGAACTCGAGCTCGACTCGAGATTTCAACATTTTAGGTCGAATAAAGCCCAACTCGATTCGATAAATTCATGAGCATTTCGTTAATTTTTTCCATATAATCTTTTGGTAGTACCCTTAGAAAATCATTTCATTCAAAAAATTACTAATTTACTAATAAATAATAAAAATGATAATAAATTAATAATATATTAATTTTCTAATAAATAACAAAAAAATACTAAATTATTATTATTTTACTACACTAAAAAATAAATCATATTTACTATTTTAATGTATTTGCCTATAGTTAATTTAGAGTTTAGATTTTGAAATTACTTCATACACTATTTTGATAATTTTTAGTTAAATTTATTAATTTAGGTTTATATTAATCTCTTCATAGAATCAATAGATTTTATATATAGTTAAGAAAACACGGCAAAAATTTCGGTGAACTTAACAAGCAACGAGTTGAGCAACATGCTTTGTTAACATGCAATGAGTCGAGTCAAGCAACAAACTTTTTTAACGAGCACGAGTCGAGCATTTCCCAACTCGCGATCGACTCACTCGATAACCACCCTTATTTGCAAAGATATTTGATTATTTGTGGGAAAAATCCATAAGAGGTCTCTATACTTTCGGAGAAAAATGACCAACATTTTTCATCAATGACCGTTACGGTGTTGATGTGGCAGTTCGCTGTACTGACTTGACGGTCCATGGTACTGACATAGTAGTCAACGGTGGTTGATAACGTGACGGATGACATGACATATGGACTAAATTGGTAACTCAAGCATGACAGATAGACTGTCATGCCAACACCGTGGACCGTCATGTCAGCATTGTGAACAACCACGCCAGTACCGTAACGGTCATCTACGGAAAAACATTAGTTGAAGGACTACATTGAGTTTGTTTTCTAAGTTAGAGAGTCATAATTAAAAGAAAAAATAATATGAGGGTCATATTAATTTTTTTTTTTTTTTTTTGCTTTCAAAATTGCATGGACCTGACTTTTACATGTAAGTTTCTGAGTTAGAGTCATAATTAAGAGAAGCAAGGTTGATCATCTTCCATACAAAAATAAATTTTTGTTATCTAGTAATTCGATTCGAAGACCTTGTATAGTCGGCAATGGACTGAGAGTTAATTTGACAAGTATTGTCTCTGCTTTTGGTGGTGTTTTATATGAATTTCTTTTTATTATGTTCCGGAATTTTGTCTGTGCTATGTCTCAGTGACGGATCCAAAATTTAAGAATAGAGACTAAAATTTTAATTTTTTTAAAAAAATAATGGATATGTAAGTTTTTTTTATTTAATTTTTCCGTAACATATTCAACTAAATTTCATATTATTTCCGAATGCACTTATCCCATAGGGGCTTAGTGCATCCGCCCCAGCTGTGTCTTTTATCTCCTATTTTGCCAGTTTTTCTGGCTATTTATATGATATGTATAATGTAATAATTATATATATATATAAAGTAATTTTATACAACAAAATACATGTAGAATACAAATTATTAATTGTAAACTCCGAATTCAACATTGAATTTAAAGAGTGTTAATATTTGGCTGGGAAGTCAAAGTTTGAAGTCATAAATAAGTTACGTATTCAACTCTTCGTTGTTCATGCAAACAATTATATATAAAAAATATAGTATTGTCCATTTCCAGCTCATCTTATCTAAGCAAATGCTGCAAATCCACAAATCAATAATTATTCAAAGGGTTAAATACACAAAATATCACTAAAGTTTGAGTAAATTTTTCTTTTCCCTACTGAACTTTCAAAAGTTACAAAGTAGTCACTAATGTTATTGATTTCTGCCGTAGGAGCAGCAACCGTCACCATTAATTATATTTCCTCTGCAGCTGCTCTCTATCTATGAAGCTCAGACTTTGAAAATTTATATTGCTTCTATATAGCTTGCAGCTTGTCCAAGTCCAAATAATTTAGTAACTAAGCTGCAACTTCACCGACCGTATGGTATAAACAAAACCATGAACGATAAAAACAAATAGGACAAAACTAAATATAATTGCCAATAGGAGAGAGAGTTTACTCTTATACAATTTAAGGGTTCGTTTCATTTTCAGTTTCTTAGAAAATAAGAAAAATAATGAAAATAAAAAATATTTTTAGTATTTTCATTAAAATTATTTTCGTAAATTTAAAAAAAAAGAAGAAAAAAATACATGATATAGATTTTTAACTTAATTTGCATAAATTCAAATCATTTTTACAATAATATGTTGACTTAATAATATCTAAACCCTCAAATTTTACAACAAAATCAATATGTTCCATAAACGTTTTACACTCAATTTGGTCCTAAAATTGTTTTTTAATTATTTAATTTTTAGTATTTTTACATTTAATATATTAAATATCTTAATAATTACTTATATGTTATATTTTAAATTTAAATAATTTAATTATATTTTAAAAAAAATAATGAAGTTCTTAAACTTTCTAAAAGAATCAATTAGGCCACCAAACTTAGCCAAAAATTCAATTAAGGGTCCATTTGTTTCACTGAAAACATTTTCCAGAAAACATTTTATGTAAAATGAATTACATCTTCTAGAAAATATTTTCTGGAAAATGTTTTATGGTGTTTGGAAGATGTTGTGTAAACCATTTTCACTAGTTGATAAATTTTTTAGAAATTATTTATTGCAAATATAAAATATAAAACATAATAAATAATATTATTTATTATTTATTATAAAAACTTAATATTATTATTTTAAAAATATTAGAATAATTTATTTAATACTATTTATGCCAATATTATTATTAAAATATTTTTCTATAATTTTATAATAAAAATATTAACTCTAGTATATTCTATTAAAATAAAATATGATAAATTATATTGAATATCTATAAAAATAAAAATATTATATTATATTTTAAAATTATTAATAAATATATTTTAAGGATTTTTTATAATATTATTAGACTATTATATTAATATTAAATACATAAATAAAAGTATTCATTATTAATAATTCAATAATATTATTTTTAAGAAATTAAGAAATAATATAAATTTTATTAATAATTTATTATATAGTATTAAAATAAGAATATAATAGTATCATATATTATTATAATATAATTGAGTATATTATTGTTATAATATTATTATTATTATATTATTAAAAATATTAATAAATATATTTAAACATGTTAATAATTAATATTTTTTATTAAAATGATACTAAAATATCATATTACTATTAAATTTATAAAATTATATTATTTTGAGTATTTATGCTTTGAAGTGAAAAGTTTAGAAAATGACTTACGAAAAATTAAATCGTAAGTCATTTTCCAGAAAATGCAAAGGAAATTCTGTTGACTAGGAAAATGTTTTACATTGACCAATCTGTTTTCCTCCAATCAAACACTGAAAAGTGATGAAACGTTTTCATGAAAATATTTTACGTGAAACAAACGAACCCTAAGTTCGTTTATCACATCATCATCCATCATGTACTACCACAACAACATCGTGAACTATCACATCAATATTGTATATTGTCATGTAAGTTTTGTGAACTAACATGTAAGCATCGTGACGATCAACGTTTGATTCCGTTAGTCAAAGAGTTAGATTAATTTTTTTTCTCAATTTAATGGTCACATTAAGTGTAAAAAAATTTAAGGGCTACACTAGTTTTTTTCCAAAAGTTTGAGGGTTCTAAATACCAATAAAGATATTTTTATTTCAATGATAATTTTATGTGCTCCTGTTTATAAAAATATTTTTTAATTTAATTGATGTATAATACGCATTAACATTGTATTCTAGCAATAATTGATTAAAACCAACATACATGTGATTATATATTATTGATGAATAAGACCAACATACATGTGATTATATATTATTGATGAAGCATCTCGAAGGAGACCCAAAAATGAAAAAAACGACGAATTTTGTTCGATAGGATGAGGCATATCGAAGGACACCCAATAAACGAAGGATTTTGTTCGATAGGAATGGGTTGAGTTATCCTATTTCTCTTTCTTATTAGTTTGTTACTACATTTCCTTTAGCTTTTACGTTCATATTTCAACGCATCGGCCTTTCCCCCCTATGGACGTCGAAGTCAAGTTCCGCCTCAAGGACGCCGCCGTCCACCGTCGATTAACCTCCATCCTTTCTCCTTTCCGCGCCGGAACCCTCCATCAACGGAACTTCTTCTTCGACACCCCAACAAATACCCTTTCCTCCCGACTTTCCCTTCTTCGCATCAGCTTCCACGAGGAGGAAGCCCGCTGCATCATTTCCCTCAAAGCCAAACCTACCCTGGTTGACGGTGTTTGCCGCGTGGAGAAAGATAAGGAGGAATTCGATCCGTGTATTGGGCGCGCTTGCGTAGAGGACCCTGCGAGGTTGGCGAGGATCGAGTCCAGGATTATGAAGAGGATTAGGGATGAGTTCGGGGTCGGGGAAGGGGTGGGTTTCGTTTGTTTGGGTGGGTTTGAGAATAAAAAAACGGATTTTCATTGGAAAAATCTGAGGGTGGAAGTGGATGAGACTAGGTATGAATTCGGAACGTACTACGAGATCGAATGTGAAAGTGAGGATCCTGATGGCGTCAAGAAACTGCTCGAGGATTTCTTGAAGAAAAATGGGATTCCTTATTCGTACTCTAAGATGACAAAGTTCGATATTTACAAGTCTGCTGAGCTCCCCAAGTGAAGCGATTTCCAGCACTGAGGTTAGTTCAAAGATAGTTGCAGACAAGGGTGGTTAACGAGTGCAGCAGCTCGTGAGCTGTTCAATTCCATTAAAGTTTGGTAAATATTTTATTCTAGTTGAACTCAGATTTCAACGTATTGGATCGAACAAAGCCTAACTCGACTCGATAAATTTACGAGTAGTTCATTAATTTTTTTTCATATAATCTTTTGGTAGTAATCTTAAAAAATCATTTCATTAAAAAAATTATTAATTTACTAATAAATAATAAAAAATGAGATAAATTAATAATCTATTAATTTTCTAATAAATAACAACAAAATACTAAATTGTTATTATTTTACTACACTAAAAAATAAATCATATTTACTATTTTAATGTATTTGTCTATTGTTAATTTGGAGTTTATATTTTAAATTACTTCATACACTATTTTGATAATTTTTAGTTAGATTTATTAATTTAGGTTTATATTATTCTCTTCATAGAATCAGTAGATTTTATATATAGTTAAGAAAACAATGCAAAAATTTCGGTGAACTTAACGAGCAACGAGCTGAGCAACATGTTTTGTTAACGTGCAATGAGTCGAGTCGAGCAACAAACTTTTTTAACGAGCACGAGTCGAGCATTGCCCAACTCGCGATCGATTCACTCGATAACCACCCTTATTTACAAAGATATTTGATTATTTGTGGGGAAAATCCATAAGAGGTCCCTATACTTTTGGGGGGGGGGAAATGACCAACATTTTTCGTCAATGACCGTTACGGTGTTGATGTGGCAGCTCGCTGTACTGACTTGACGGTCCATGGTACTGACATAATAGTCCACGATAGTTGATAGCGTGACGAATAACATGACATATGGACTAAATTGGTAACTCAAACATGGCAGATGGACTGTCACGCCAACACCGTGGACCGTCATGATAGCATTGTGAACAACCACGCCAGTACCGTAACGGTTATCGACGGAAAAACATTAGTTGAAGGGCTACATTGAATTTGTTTTCTAAGTTAGAGAGTCACAATTAAGAGAAAAAAAATAATATGAGGGTCATATTAGTTTTTTTTTTTTTTTTTTTTGCTTTCAAAATTGCATGGACCTGACTTTTACATGTAAGTTTCTGAGTTAGAGAGTCATAATTAAGAGAAGCAAGGTTGATCATCTTCCATGCAAAAATAAATTTTTGTTATCTAGTAATTCGATTCGAAGACCTTGTATCGTCGGCAATGGACTGAGAGTTAATTTGACAATTATTGTCTCTGCTTTTGTGGGGTGTTTTCTATGAATTTCTTTTTATTATGTTCCGGAATTTTGCATGTGCTATGTTTCAGTGACAGATCCAAAATTTAAGAATAAAAACTAATTTTTTTTTAATAAAAATAATGGGTATGCAAGTTTTTTTTATTTAATTTTTCCTTAACATATTCATCTAAATTTCATATTATTTTCGAATGCACTTGACCCATAGGGGTTTAGTGCATCCACCCCAGCTGTGTGTTTTATCTCCCATTTTGCCAGTTTTTCTGGCTATTTATATGATATATATAATTTAATAATTATATATATATATATATATAAATGGTATAAACAAAACCATGAACGATAAAAACAAATGGTGTAGGACAAAACTAAATATAATTGTCAATAGTAGGTGTGCACAAATGTCCAAATACAATCTCTTATAGTTTGGAAAACTCTCAATGAAATTCTTTTAAGGGTAAACTGCATATTTGGTCAGTTACATATTATTTAATTTTAATTCTTTTGTCACTCAATTATTATTTTTTTAAAAATTAGAAATAACGTTCCGTTTTAGTGACGTGATGTTAAAAAAATTAACTTTGATTTTGATATGTCATCATAAGAGAATGTCATATCAATATTAAAAAATAAAAAGATAACACATTTGTATCACCGTTTATTTTTTAACGACAAGTAATTAAAGCAAAATCAAAATGTAACATTAAGTATAAAATTTAAAAAGTAATAATTGAGTGATGAAAACAAAAATTAAGCGATTACCCTATTTTTTTAATTAGTAAAACAAATTTCACCATTCTTTTTTTAATTGGCTTAAGTATACAAAATGTATCGATCCAATCTATGCTCTTTTTTTAGTTTAGTGTCTAACGTTTATTTCGTTCTATTTTGGTGCCTAACGTTTCATTCTATTACTCAAAATAAGGTTTAGTTTTTCATTTTAATTAATTTCTTATTTTTAGAAATCATTTTTTAATATTAAAAAACATTTCAAGGGGTATTTTTAATGGATTAACGACCAAACTTAATGGTCCGTCATGCTTGGCCCTTTTTAAATAACAAAATAAAATGTTAAATACCAAACTGAAACGAAATAAATGTTAGACACTAAATTAAAAAAGACATAGATTGACTTTTGCAGCCTTTTTAATTATACAGAATCAGTTTTGTAACAAGACTGAGAATGAGAGTAATATTGAGATAATTAAGTAATATATAATTGTTATATTTAGGAAGAACCGAGAGATGTTAGGTCCTTAGGATGCCATCACACCTTCAAATTTTCAAAATTTTGTAAAATTTAAGTATTTTATTTATATTAATTCTGAACCACCCTGCATAAAATTTAAGATAAATTACATGTTTAATATCTAAATTATCAGTTTTAGTCTGTTCTAATACTTTAACTTTTAATATTTTCAAAACCATACCTAACATTTAGTTTTTGCTTCATTTTACTACCCATTCAAAATTTAACGATAAGTTTTGAAAAAAATAAAGTTTAGGTACTAAAACGGACCAAAACTAATAGTTTAAAGCACATTAAGTTTTTAATGTTGGGGTACTAAAATGAAACAAAAACCAACTGTTAGGTATGAATTTTAAAAAAATGAAAATTTATGTGTTAAAACGAATCAAAACGGATAGTTTAAGTACTAAAAACGATTTGCAACTACTCTAGTAACCCGCTATCAAAAATAGCATTGAAGCTACCCAGTTCATGGGGAGCAAGAGCTAAGCCAAATTCAATACCATCTTCTTCTTCCCTGCCCTCTGCAATAGAAAACATAAAAAGAGCTCCCAATGACCCAAGGCTGGCCACCTCGGTCTTTCTAGGCCTTCCCCACCCAAAGTCAACCCCGTACAATCTGAATTTCGGCGATGCTGAAACCATAATAGGAGGATGTTCTGTTCTGAATATATCCGGTGACGTTTCCGCCCCTTTCAGTGGCCCTTTGTCAATTTCCATAACTTCTCTTCCAATGGCCTTTGCCGCCGCCAGAAACCCATCTTCTCCGATTAGCTCACTTCTCTTAGATGCTACAGTGCGTGCTATAGTACAGTTCCCGAAGTATGTTGAAGGTAATTTGAGGTGGCGTCTACAGTCTACTGCGAAAAGGAAATGAGAAAGCTCATCGGATAAGTCGTCGGCCGGTGAAGCTTGTAATTTGATTAAACTAACCCACATGTAGGCACATGTCACTACGAACGTTGATATCCTTATCGCCTCCATTTCCGTCTCTGATATACAACTTTTTTTGACCCGATCCTTCAAGAACTCAACCTGTGACCGTTTGATGTTGTAAGTGACCTGAAACTTTTCGATGGGGTTGTTTGATAAATCCTCGAAACTCCACTTCTGGTTCAAGAAAATCGATGCCAGTCCTAAAGGATCTTCGATCGAACCCCTGCTGTCGAAATCCGGTAACGGTTCGTCGAAATCCACTTGAGACCGATGGAGGGATGCCCATGATTTCATGAAATGAGCAAGCGTTCGTCCGTCACCCGCGACATGGATAAAGCTGACGCCTATGGAAACGCCCTGGTCGGGGAACAGGGTGACTTGAACCGCCATGAGCGGCTTCTTCTGCATGCCATCGAGCGGCGGAACCGCAGGCGGTAGTTTCGGGAGAAGAGGTTGGAATTCATGAAAATGTCGCGGGTGATGGCCTACGAGATGGCTGAAATCGGCGGTGGATTCATTGACGAAAAACGGAACGGAATCACCGTCGGTGTAGAGAATATAAGGGATTTGAGGAGGCGGAGGGAACACGAGGTTGCCGGCGTACGGAAAGAAACGTTGCAGGGCGAGGGAGAGAGATGATTTTAGAGAGGGAAGAGTGGTTTGCATGAAATAGGAAGAAGGGTGTGGGAATTCATAGAAGAAGAGGCGCTGGAAAGGAGAAGAACCGAGGAACTGTAAGTCGAAGAAGGCGAGAGAAAGAGAGGTAGTGGGAACGGAGCCTGGCGGAGGAGATACATGGCTTACATCTTCAACCACTTTCATACTACTCTCTGCTATAATTGCCATTAATTGGTGTTGCCGAAAAAAAAAAAGGTTTCCCCTTTCATTCAAATGAGATACTTCTCATATATATATATTTATACACTTATATACTAGTTAGGATCCATTTATCCGATCTTTTAGCCTAATAGGACACTTAGAAATAATTATTTGCCCTAATAAGACACTTCAAAAATTACTTTAGGATTTATAACATTCTTTGTAGTGTAGGAGAACTTGTCACCTCGAAGTGAAGAGATTCATGATATATTATTTTTTATTTCATGTCTCATATTTTAATATTTCTTGTGAAATTCGTTACTTCGAAGTGACGAGTTTCATTAAAAAATATTTTTAAAATTTTTAATATGAATTTAGTTTTTAATGAAAAAAATTGGAACTCCTAACCTTTGTAACAATACCTATGTAAAAATATAAAATTTTTGTATTGGGTAAACTACATATTTAATATATAAACTATTATTTTTGTTTTCTTTTGGTATCTAAATTTTTATTTATTTTAAAATTATATTTAAAGTTTACTTTTTATTTCATTTTGGTACATCGCTGTTAAAATTAAATTTAAAAGTTAAAGTGATTAAATTAAGAACAATTTGAAAGTTATTAAATTTTATTGTTTTATTTTAATTATATATTAATAAATTAATAATAAAAATATGATGTCACAAACTTAAAAAAATAAACTCCATTGACCAAAATATGAGTGAGAAAATAGTTGAGTGATAAATGATATAATTTATCTATAAAAATATCATGCTTGTTCTGCTAAACTTTTAACAGTGGAGAATAAAACTGAAATAAAAAATTAAACTTTAGTTATAATTTTAAAATAAATAAAAATTTAAGTATTAAAAGAGAATAAAAATGATATTTATATATTAAACATGTAGTTTACCAATACCAAGGACAGTTTATAATGTTATAAAAAAAACTAGTCACTTTAAAACGATATATATATATATATCACACGGCCAGCCTACATGTACGACTTTTTTGTTATTATTTGGAATGTTAAAAGTTGACAAGTTGTTATCACTTATTGGGATGGATAGCTACACTGACAGAAGGTTTCGTTATTTTTAATTTTTTATTAAAATATTATTTTTATTCTTTTATAAATTTTATAAATATGATATCTCTTGATTTTATAAATTTATATTCTTAATGTATAATCTTAGGTTTATTCCTACCGGTAACGGATCCATAAATATAAAAAATAGAGAAAATAACTTCAGTGACTAAAAATGTCTTATAATATACGATTTTAACCAATTTTTTTTTGGATTTGCCAAAATGACCAACTAAATCGTAATGCGATCGATAATTCGCAACGCGATCTTCGGTATCGCAAATCAGTTTCCAGATTCGCAACGCGATTCTGACTATCGCATTGCGATTTCCCAAATTCGCGTTGCGATTTTCCTAATTCGCTATGTGAATACGTAAATCGCAACGCGAATTTGGAAAATCGCAATACGATTACGTAAATCGCAATGCGAATACGTAAATCGCAATGCGAATCTGACTATCGCAATGCGATTTACATATCGCCATTCGTATTAACGCATATTTTTTTTCAAATTCCAAACACGAATATATTAATATATCGGAACACTGAACCGTCCACAGTATATCCCGTAATCGCAACTCATAACCTAAAACCCTAAATCACAACTCAGTCTCATCTCCATCTCTCACTCTCTAAGGCGACATCCGTCCCCATCTCCGACGAAATCAGTCCCCACGACGATAACAGTCTCCATCTCCGACGAAATCATTCACGGTCAGAAATGGAAAATCAACCAAATCAACCACCGAGGGTTAGTTTTTTTAATTATTTTTATTTTGAAATTTTTGCATTATTATTAGGTTTTTTATATTAAAATTGATGATAAGTTTACTGGTGTTTTCAATAATAGATTAACCATTTCACTTAGATTGCTTATTATATTAATTCGATTGCTGCCAATACTGCTAAACTGTTTAGTCTTTAACCCTGTGAAGTTAGTATTTGTCTTTGTTTTGTCTTTTGGTTGAAGCAATGCAATCAATTCAAGTTTCTTTCAATTTTAGTATTTGAAACCCAGAATGTCTATTGCAACGAAGTGAATCGCAACACGAAAATGACTATCGCAACGCGAATTTGACTGTTGCGATTTTCATTTTCGTGTTGCGATAGTCATTTTCGTGTTGCGATTTAATGTGGTATTCCATTTTTGTAGGATGTCATGCAGTCTACCATACAAGCAATGGTTATGTAATTCGATTCGAAGACCTTGTATCGTCGGCAATGGACTGGGAGTTAATTTGACAAGTATTGTCTCTGCCTTTGTGGGTGTTTTCTATGAATTTCTTTTTATTTTCTATGAATTTCTTTTTATTTTGTTCCGTAATTTTGTCTGTCTTATGTGACGGATCTAAAAATTTAAGAATAGAATCTAAATTTTAATATTTTTTCAAAAAATAATAGGCATGCAAGTTTTTTTTTTTCATTTTTCCGTAATATATTCAACTAAATTTCATATTTTTTCCCCTAAAAAGTAGGGATGCACTTGGCCCATAGGAGCTTAATGAATCCGCCCCAGCAATGTCTTTTTCTCTCCCAATTTGCCAATTTTTCTTGCTATTTATATGATACATATGATGTAATAATTATATATATAAAAAAGTAATTTTATACAACAAAATACATGTAGAATGCAAATTATTAATTGTAAACTCCGAATTCAACATTGAATTTAAAGTGTTAATATTTGGCTGGGAAGTCAGGGTTTGAAGTCATAAATAAGTAACGTATTCAATTCTTCGTTGTTCATGCAAACAATTATATAAAAAAAATGTACTATTGTCCATTTCCAGCTTGTCTTATCTAAGCAAACGCTGCAAATCCACAAACCAATAATTATTCAAAGGGTCAAATACACAAAATATCACTAAAGTTTGAGTAAACTTTTCTTTTCCCTATTGAACTTTCAAAAGTTACAGAGTAGTCACTAACGTTATTGATTTCTCCCGTAGGAGCAGCAGCCGCAGGCTGGTCCGAAAGGATTCTAATAAGAAAAAGAGATGATGGGTTTGTTGCAGGTTTTAGGGGGGGGGGGGGGGGAACGTGAGGATAAAGATAAGATATAATTGGTATAAACAAAGCTGCAACTTCACCGACCGTATGGTATAAACAAACCATGAACAATAAAAACAATGGTATAGGACAAAACTAAATATAATTGTCAATAGTAGGCGTGCACAAATGTCCAAATACAATCTCTTATAGTTTGGAAAACTCTCAATGAAATTCTTTTAAGAGTAAGCCCACATATTATTTAATTTTAATTCTTGTCACTCAATTAACGTTTCGTTTTAGTGACATACTGTTAAAAAATTAACTGTAATTTTGATATGTCATCATAAGAGAATGTCACATCACATTAAAAAAATAATAAAAATAACACGTTTGTAAAGTTATTTATTTTTAACGACAAGTAACTAAAACAAAATCAAAATGTAACATTAATATAAAATTTAAAAAGTAATAATTGAGTGATGAAAACAAAAATTAAGTGATAACCCTATTTTTTAATTAGTAAAACAAATTTCACCATTCTTTTTTTTAATTGGCTTAAGTATACAAAAGGCATCGATCCAATCTATGCCCTTTTTTTTAGTTTAGTGCTTAACGTTTATTATGTTTTATTTTGGTGCCTAACGTTTCATTTCGTTACACAAAATAAGGTTTAGTTTTTCATTTTAATTAATTTCTTATTTTTAGAAATCATTTTTTAATATTAAAAAACATGTCAAGGGGCATTTTTAATGGGTTAATGACCAAATTTAATGGTCCGTCATGCTTGACCCTTTTTGAGTAACAGAATGAAACGTTAAACACCAAACTGAAACGAAATAAATGATTTATTAGACACTAAACTAAAAAAAAAAGGCATAGATTGAACACCTTTAGCATACTTAAGCCTTTTTAATTATACAGAATCAGTTTTGTAACAAGACTGAGAATGAGAGTAATATTGAGATAATTAACTAATATATCATTGTTATATTTAGGAAGAACCGAGAAATGTTAGGTCCTTAGGATGCCATCACACCTTTAAATTTTCAAAATTTTGTAAATTTTATTTATATTAATTCTTAACCACCTGGAATAAAATTTAAGATAAATTACACGTTTAATATCTAAATTATAAGTTTTAATCTATTTTAATACTTTAACTTTCAATATTTTCAAAATCATACCTAACATTTAGTTTTTGCTTCATTTTATTACCCGTTCAAAATTTAACGATAAGTTTTGAAAAAATTTAAAGTTTAAGTACTAAAACGGAACAAAACTAATAGTTTAAAGCACGATAAGTTTGTAATGTTGGGATACTAAATGAAATAAAAACTAACTGTTAGGTTTAATTTTTAAAAAAATAAAAATTTAGGTAATAAAACGGATTAAAATGGATAATTTAAGTTCTTAATGCGATTTACAACTACTGTAGTAACCCGCTATCAAAAATAGCATTGAAGCTACTCAGTTCATGGGGAGCAAGAGCTAAGCCAAATTCAATACCACCTTCTTCTTCCCTGCCCTCTGCAATAGAAAACAAAAAAGTGATCCCAATGACCCAAGGCTGGCTACCTCGGTCTTTCTAGGCCTTCCCCAACCAAAGTCAACCCCGTACAATCTGAATTTCGGCGATGCTGAAACCATAATAGGAGGATGTTCTGTTCTGAATATATCTGGTGACGTCTCCGCCCCTTTCAGTGGCCCTTTGTCAATTTCCATAACTTCTCTTCCAATGGCCTTTGCCGCCGCCAGAAACCCATCTTCTCCGATTAGCTCACTTCTCTTAGCTGCTACAGTGCGTGCTATAGTACAGTTCCCGAAGTACGTTGCAGGTAATTTGAGGTGGCGTCTACAATCTACTGCGAAGAGGAAATGAGAAAGCTCATCGGATAAGTCGTCGGCCGGTGAAGCTTGTAATTTGATTAAACTAACCCACATGTAGGCACATGTCACTACGAACGTTGATATCCTTATCGCCTCCATTTCCGTCTCTGATATACAACTTTTTTTGACCTGATCCTTCAAGAACTCAACTTGTGACCGTTTGATGTTGTAAGTGACCTGAAACTTGTCGATGGGGTTGTTTGATAAATCCTCGAAACTCCACTTCTGGTTCAAGAAAAACGATGCCAGTCCTAAAGGGTCTTCGATCGAACCCCTGCTGTCGAAATCCGGTAACGGTTCGTCGAAATCCACTTGAGACCGATGGAGGGATGCCCATGATTTCATGAAATGAGCAAGCGTTCGTCCGTCACCCGCGACATGGATAAAGCTGACGCCTATGGAAACGCCCTGGTTGGGGAACAGGGTGACTTGAACCGCCATGAGAGGCTTCTTCTGCATGCCATCGAGCGGCGGAACCGCAGGCGGTAGTTTCGGGAGAAGAGGTTGGAATTCATGAAAATGTCGCGGGTGATGGCCTACGAGATGGCTGAAATCGGCGGCGGATTCATTGACGAAAAACAGCACGGAATCACCGTCGGTGTAGAGAATATAAGGGATTTGAGGAGGCGGAGGGAACACGAGGTTGCCGGCGTACGGAAAGAAACGTTTCAGGGCGAGGGAGAGAGATGATTTTAGAGAGGGAATTGTGGTTTGCATGAAATAGGAAGAAGGTGTGTGGAATTCATAGAAGAAGAGGCGCTGGAAAGGAGAAGAACCGAGGAACTGTAAGTCGAAGAAGGCGAGAGAAAGAGAGGTAGTGGGAACGGAGCCTGGCGGAGGAGATACATGGCTTACATCTTCAACCACTTTCATACTACTCTCTGCTATAATTGCCATTAATTGGTGTTGCCGGAAAAAAAAAAGGTTTCCCCTTTCATTCAAATGAGATACTTCTCATATATATATTTATACACTTATATACTAGTTAGGATCCATTTATCCGATCTTTCGGCCTAATAGGACACTTAGAAATAATTATTTGCCCTAATAAGACACTTCAAAAATTACTTTAGGATTTATAACATTCTTTGTAGTGTAGGAGAATTTGTCACCTCGAAGTGAAGAGATTCATGATATATTATTTTTTATTTCATGTCTTATATTTTAATATTTCTTGTGAAATTCGTTACTTCGAAGTGATGAGTTTCATTAAAAAATATTTTTAAAATTTTTAATATGAATTTAGTTTTTAATGAAAAAAATGGAACTCCTAACCTTTGTAACAATACGTAAAAATATAAAATTTTTGTATTGGGTAAACTACATATTTAATATATAAACTATTATTTTTGTTTTCTTTTGGTACCTAAATTTTTATTTATTTTAAAATTATATTTAAAGTTTACTTTTTATTTCATTTTGGTACATCGCTGTTAAAATTAAATTTAAAAGTTAGAGTGATTAAATTAGGAGCAATTTGAAAGTTATTAAATTTAATTTTTTTATTTTAATTATATATTAATAAATTAATAATAAAAATATGATGTCACAAACTTAAAAAAATAAACTCCATTGACCAAAATATGAGTGAGAAAATAGTTGAGTGATAAATGATATAATTTACCTATAAAAATATCATGCTTGTTCTGCTAAACTTTTAACAGCGGAGAACAAAACTAAAATAAAAAATTAAACTTTAGATATAATTTTAAAATAAATAAAAATTTAAGTACTAAAAGAAAATAAAAATAATGTTTATATATTAAACATGTAGTTTACCAATACCAAGGACAGTTTATTAAAAATATAATAAGTTTATAATGTTATAAAAAAAACTAGTCACTTTAAAACGATGAATATATATATATATCACATGGCCAGCCTACATGTACGACTTTTTTGTTATTATTTTGAATGTTAAAAGTTGACAAGTTGTTATCACTTATTGGGATGGATAGCTACACTGACAGAAGGTTTCGTTATTTTTAATTTTTTTATTAAAAGATTATTTTTATTCTTTTAAAAATTTTATAAATATGATATCTCTTGATTTTATAAATTTATATTCTTAATGTATAATCTTAGGTTTATTCCTATCGGTAACGGATCTATAAATATAAAAATAAGTTTAAAGTTTTAATATTCTTTTCTTAATATTAATGGATATGCAATTTTTTAGTTTTTCTTAACATATTATATTAAATTTAAATTATTTTTTAAATGATAGGATGAACATAGTGACGGATCCAGAAATAATCTTTTGGGTGGGTACACATATGTTAACAACATAAAATTTTTAATTGGTATGATTACAATTAAAATTTTAGAGTAGACACCGTACGTAAAATAAATAATTAATCGAAGAAAATTCAAATTTCAATATAAACACACAAAATTTCAAGATAAACACCGTTAAATTTCAGTATTTACCAAACTGATGCACAATCTAAAAGAATTAATGCATCGGTCCCCTCTACTATCTTTATGGGCTACACTAAATATAAACATCATTGCTTATGTCATATCTTTCATATGAATTTATTTAGTTATTTATATTTCTCTATGAAGTACATGTTATGATGATTTTTTATATAATTATTCATATCTCAGGCATGAAAAAATTATTTTATATTAAATATTATTAATTTTTAGTATAAATATAATTCTTTTTTTTTATCAAACTTTATTATAAATATAATTATTTTTATCAAACCTGCATTAGTTATACTATAAAATTTAATTTTTTTAAAATAACATCTTATTTCATTAAATTAATAGATAATTTTTTTTTTCTATTTCTGCGATAAACAACAATGGTTACAAAAGTAGATTTTGTCAGGCAGTGTTAGTCAAACTTTGTTCTCAAATTATAGATTCGTTGGGTAGTGTTAGCCTAAACTTTGCTTTCAAATTATAGATTTGTATTTGAAAACTAATAAGTTGTACGATAAACATATATTACTCTCTAAAATAATAAATATAAGTGATATCATGGATAAAAAAAATTCAATCTGACCAACAGGGTTGGTTCAAGTATAAAGCAGCTTGATTCCGCTTAAGCAAGGTCTCAGGTTAGAGTACTTGTGTATGCATAAAATCCCTATTGAGAGACTCACTCACAAAAGTCAGGTGTATGACTCGGATCGATCCAGATTAGTCAAGATGAAAATTTGAAATTGAGAGGACAACCTCAAAAAAAATCAATCTATATAATTAAATGAATAAATTTTAAAATATAATAAATAAATAAAAGAGTAAAATTTAGTGGGAGATGATGTAATTTATCTTTGAATTTACCTTTAACCATCATCAGAATAGCTCCGGTAACTGATGATGATTTGCTCCGGTTGCATTAAACGACGGTGGATGAGCAAATGGGCAACGAGGATGTTAGGAAATAGGTATAAGAGAAGATCGAGATTTGAGTGAGGAATTTTGAGATCTTATGTTAGGTCAAGCTAATGGGATTTTTAATTGTTATTTTTTTAAAATTATTTTGAATCGTGATTAATTTGATAAGACACATAAGTCTTGAGGATTAAAATTTATATTATACTACAATATTATCTTCGTTAAAACCACTGTTAAATTTAGGTTAAATACCCATTCATATATATAAAGTATACCGAATTTTTAATTTTGTATATATTATTTAAATTTTTTTTGATTTTATATATATATATATATATATATATATATATATATATATATATATATATATATATATATATATATGATGTTTTCTGTTATTAATGGGTTTACTCGCTTCTATCACGAAATATGACATGGAATTCTTTAATAAAATGACACGTGAAATTTTAAAAAGAAATCAATTTTTTTGAAAAACAAATAAAATCCATCTTCTACATCCACCACTTTCGCCTCATCGTTCCGATGCACATTCATCCGAGGAAGAACAATACTCTTCCACATCATCTTCAGATTCTTCATACCCTTCATCGGAAACTACCAGAATAAACGGGGCTATTGGCAGCTAGAGCAGCCGATCTGGAAGCCGGGAATTAAGGTCGATGTAGAGTCATAGAAGACCCAAACACAGAAGTTGATTCCATCTTCAACGCTGGAGAAGGCCAATTCCATTAGAATAAAAAACCAAATGAAGAAGAAGAAAAAAGCCAGCAAACTACAAGTTGTTTGGAACAAAAGATTTACCTTTGACCTTGAAGGAAAGGGAGAACAAACGAAGTAAGATTTCTAGTTTCCCAAATCACTAACCTAAAAAAGGAAAATTAAAAGCTTAATTTGGGTTGAGATTGGGAGTAAAGTCGATGCTGGAGAAGGAAGGGTTGAGACTGGGTTGATCGGATTAGCGATATCAAGGTAGTCACGTGCCTAGTGACCCGGACTTCCACATTTGAAGCAACCTTTTGCGGCGGAATTTGGATTCTCCGATCCGACCCTTCTGGATTGCGTTGGTCCGATTTGGGGGCATCGAGGCAATCATGAACTAGTGGTTTGTCCTTCCACATTTGTAGCAACCTGTTGGCGTGGATTTAAAAACAAAACAGTTTTATTTTAAAAATTAAAAAAATAATTTTTTTTGAAGTGTTTTATTTTGTTAAAGTCACGGGATTTTACGTCATTTTTTTTTACAGAAAAAGGTGAATCCGTTAATAGTAAAAAAATATTATGTATGCAATCGAAAATTTTTAAACGTTATATATGAAACTGAGAATTTGATGTAGTTGCAATGCCCCGAATTTTGAATCGGTAGTTCAGGTCAACCTGAAACCCATAAATCGAACCCAATAGACCTTCTAAATTAGTTTGGACCAATTCAAAGGGGTATTAGGTTTAAGTTGGCCTAAGAGTTAGGGAGAGATGATGATTTTAAAAGTAAGTTAATAAGAGAGGGACTAAAATTATAATTTATCCATAGCTAGATTAAAAAGGATAAAAACCCCTTATTATATAAGTTTTCCATGTGAACCATCAAAACAACCCAAAATTATCTTCCTCTCTAGACTCTTATTCTCCATTCTTTCTCCTTAGTCAAGATCAAACTTTAAGAGATTCCAAGCTTATTTTGAAGAAACCAAGGCAAGAGTTTTAATCTCCTTTCCTTAAGTTTTATTTTTAACCCATAAACTTAAGTTTTGAGCTTGACTTTAGAAAATGGGTTTTTATGATTCTTAAGAAATCAAGTGATTTAAGCTATTTTAGGAAATGATTTGAGTTATAGGGAGTGTATTTAAATTTTGTCTAGCATCTAGTTGAGTAAATAACTCATTCTTATACCTTGTTTAGATAAAAAGGTTAAAGAGAGTTCAAAAATCACGGGTAAAGAAAAAGTAGATTCCTAGTTGATTGGGAGAGGTTATAGCTTCCAAAGAATTCAGGTAACACACTCATAACTCCCTTATACCCTTAATGGATCAATAGAAATGCAAGATAGCTTATGTGATGTGATTTAAGCACGTTGAGTTATTTTCATGGCAATTTATATGTTTTAGGGTTATTATATATTTTAGAGCCTTATTTATGATCCTTATAACTTACATAAGACACTAATAACAAATGGGAACCTCATAATAGTAATGTGGGTAAGTTTAGGTGTAATTTCGAGCCTAAATAAGGCTATTTCGAGTAGGGGTATCGGTACTATAAGAACAATACTGATAATGTTCTTCAAGAAGAGTATAAATAAGCTTAGTTAAAGAGGGAGTATCGATACTCCTTCAAGTGGTATCGATACTGAGGAATTTTTGAAAAATCGAAGCTAAAATTTATATCGGTACTCATGGGAATATCGACACCCAAGGGTAGAAGTATCGATACTCCCCATAGGAGTATCGATACCGAGATTATTTTCAAAGCATCGAATCTAATTTTGGTATCGGTACCCGGGTTAGTATCGGTACCCTAGCTCAGTGATATCAATACTAAAAGGTGGGTATCGATACTATCCATTTTCAAAGCATGAGAGAATAGAGTGAAGTATCGATACTTAAGGTAAAGTATCGATACCCAAGGGGTCAATACCGATACTGAAAGGTCATTATCGATACCATCGTACATTTTCTGATAAGGATTTTCAAGGGGTTTGAAATAGGGAAATTAGGTTCCCAAGAACTCTATAATTACTTATAAATAAGACTGCAAGTGAAACCAATAATAATGCTTAGTCAAACATAGAAACATAATAAATAGGGATTAACAAGACTAGCCTTGTTTGATGCTCGGGAAATAATTTGGACACCCGTTTTTCTTTAGATGCTAGTGTAGTCGAAAGTATAGATGCAGTCCGGATATATCCTTAGGGAGGGTGCGAAGCCCTTAAAACTGACTAACTAGGGTGCGAGGTCTGAACACCCGTGAGGGGTGGGTTAGTCGGGGGGTATGGTGTCCGATGCAGAGATTTCGAGGGTCATATCTTCGGTAGACTAGAGGGGTGTGTGAGCTCCAAGATACAGAGATCCCTCAACCGCATCATGATGTTTACCATTAGTGTAGAGAGTGAATAACATGAGGATATTTACTAATGATTGAGATGTGATAGCTTGATGTATTTCAATGATGAACCTTTAGTATGACCTAGTTGTTAGTGTGGCAGTGAGCTAGTTAGCTCAACCTTCGGATGTTTCCGTTGGCAGGTTAGTAGATTGAATAGTCAAGGAGCTTTAGAAAGAGACTGAGGTCTAGACCAGAGCAAAGCATAGTACGTCTTAACATTTTGAAGGGCATGCATATTTATAAACCCTGATGTAAAGTTGAGTCATAAATTGTATTTTCAGTTGGTGTGTTTATTTTTTTGAATTGTATATGTATTTATTTTGGGAGCTTCTGATATTAAAGTGTTTGTTATGTTTTATTATCTTATGTGAATGGTTATTATAAATTAAGAAGTAAAGTCATTAAAAAGTTGGTCAACCACTTTAGTAATTTCGTGTAGCACCTGAATCGGTCGACGATGTGTCATACAGGTTTAGGATGTTACATTTAATTTTATCAGAGCGAAGGTTTAGGCGTTCCTAGGACCCGTAAATCAATGTCGATCAATATTGGTAAAGAGTTTAAGAGTACTATGTATCTACGTATGTAATAGTAATTTCATTGTTTTTATCTTAATTTCATATTTTAGAGATGAATAGAAGCCCATACCACAGTAGAGAGGGTAGGCAATAGAATAAAGATTCCCTAACTGATGATTTAGGAGATGAGTTCATCCCAGACTCCGAGCATGGGGAGCCTAGAGACTCAAAGATAGTTAAAGCGATGTTCTTTAGGAATTTGACATCTACTTTAGAACTTATAGTGAGAGCCATTCCCCAGACGTCTGCTACTCCATCTGTTTAGTCAGTCGAGTCAGTTCCTCCCATTGTAGCACCTTAGGAAACCCAATAGATAGGCTCTGGAGGTACTAAACTATTGATTTCTTTGGTTCATGAAATGATGATTCCGTTGTAATTGATCAGTGGCTAAGAGAAACCCTTAGGACCCTTCGCCAATTGCATCTCACCCCCGAGAGTATGTTAGAGTGCGTCATCTCCCTACTGAAAGGTGACGCGATAGATTGGTGGGAGATGTCACTAGATCCTGAGAAACCCAACTGGGATCAATTTTTGGAGGAGTTCCGCCAAAAGTATATCGGAGAGGCCCACATGGATGCAATGAGGGACATGTTTACTCAGTTAACCCAAGGGAATATGTCAGTATTCGAGTACGAGGTAGAGTTCCTTTGGTTGAGTAGATACGCCCCAAAGTTGGTTCCGTAAGAATATCATCACTGTAGGTTCAGAGAGGGTATTCGATTAGATATTCTGACTCATTTAGCTACCAATCCACCATGAGTATTCACAGAATTGGTTCGTCAGGAAAAGGCAGTACAGAGAGTTGCAGAAAGGGGAGCAACAGAAGACGGTGTCACTTTAGATTAGGATAAAAAGGTGGCCGAGTCAGCAGAACTAGCCCAAACATCCAATAGGTCAACATAATTTCAAGAACCTGGGAGAACCCCGTCAAGCCAATCTAGCCGACCAACGCAGAGTGCGAACGGAGGAGAGGGTAGAACCAGTCAACATATAAGGCCGTTACCCACAACTTCAATAGCGAGTTCTGGAGGTGCAAAGAGGGTGTATTCTCAGCCAAATTACTCTACGTACGGCAAGAGGCATTTGGGAGTTTGCCGACAAGGGACTCAGTGTTGTTACTGATGTGGATCTTTGAATCATTTTATCCGAGATTATCTAGAGGCTCGTAATGTAGCTTCAGAGTCGACTCAGCAATCAGCTCCGACAGTTCAGAAGGGCAGAGGATCTCAGAGAAGAGGGATTTTTTATGGTAAGACCGGTAGGGATGTATTTTTAAGCATATGAAGTTGGCTGATATATGTAAGGACATCATTTATATGTATTTTTAGGCACATGAGAACTCATCAATGTATGGTTTCCGTAAGACAGTGATCATGTTGTTATCATGAGGCTTCAAGAAGATGTGTTTTTGAGATGCATATTAGTTAACTTTATATATGTTGCCGGAGATTATTTTACTCCCTTATTCTCCTATTTGTCTGGGACTTCAAGGACTGCCTCAAGGCTCAAAGCATATTTCATGTTGTCTTTCTTGTTTGCTCTGGCTTTGTATCGTATTAAGTCCCCATTATATTTTCCCACGTGAATTGCCTGTCCAGCTCAGTCGGTAGAGCACAAGGCTCTTAACTTTGTGGTTGTGGGATCGAGTCCCACGGTAGACAATTCATAATTTTGATTGCCAGAGATCTTCTACAGAAGCTGCTCTCAACCTGGCGTTAGGGGCAACCTATTACCTTACCTCTCTCTCATCCCATTACATATGGGAATAGGGTTAGTTAATTTTTATATTTTCCCACGTCTTTTCCCCCTAATTTTTTTCTGCTATCATCTAAACCCCATGCAAATTTATAAGTTGTTCCGCTGCTGTTGCTGATGAACTTACTTATTTTATCTTCTTTTTTCCTTTTTGAAAATTAATTTATCTAGAAGTCTAGAAAATGAAGTTGGGCTTCTATTTCTTAATTTAATGCTCAAACTTCATGTTTTTTGTTCTTTACAATTTAATTATGGGGTAATAACTAAATGGATATATTTCTTGCTTTTATTTCGACCTCCAGATGGATGCATACTTAGTTTTGTAATTTGATGCAGATAACACATGTTGCTGCCCAATATGATCAGACTTCTTTTCTCTATCATGTTGTTTCAAAATGGAATGCTGACCCTGATACTCCCGATAATGATGGGCGGAGCCCTTTACACTGGTACTTGGGGATTTCTGCATGCACCTTACCCTTATTAACTTGATGGTCTAGGATAAGGCACTATGGTGCTGCTAATTTCTTTTGTATCTAATATGTGCATTTTTTTTGTCATATTTGATAGGGTTGATTATTTTCCTCTTCTGGCGTTACCATCGCTTTGTTATCTTCCTTTGATTACTTTGCTATTTCAGTTTTCTTTTTATCAATAATGAACCTTTTTTTGGTACTGAATAAATTATTGTTTGATCTATTTGCTGGTCCGTAAGAGTTCTTTTAAAACACCTGGTTTGTGTGTGTATGTGAACGCTTATTTATTTATTTATCATATAAAAATTATAAAACAGTTTCCAATTTTGTGATTTTAGGTTGCCTAGTGAACCTTCTTCTATTTCTTGATGCGCATAGAGGGCGTCAGGACAAGGAAGGTAATTTTTTGTATCTCAGGTTTAAAGTGCCATTTGTAGGGAATTTCATTCGGTTAATCTAGTATTCTGCTCTTTTAATTATTTGATCTTTGCATCAGGTTGCACTCCTCTCCATTGGGCAGCTATTAGGGGTAATCTAGAAGCTTGCACAGTCCTAGTAAAGGCGGGTAAGATGGAGGACTTGTTGGTCACTGATAGTAGTGGCCCTACACCTGAACAGCTTGCTTCTGATCAAAATCACAGACAAGTTGTTTTTCTCCTTGTAGGTGCCTTAACATATTTACTTTGGTAATAATTATTCTTCTGATATTTATTTGTTTTTGTTTTCAATCTTGCACTGTTCCAGCTCTTTCTTTTTAGTGATGACTGATAAACGCCCTGTGCAGGACTGTGCCATTTGTAGGGAATTTCATTCGGTTAATCTAGTATTCTGCTCTTTTAATTATTTGATCTTTGCACCAGGTTGCACTCCTCTCCATTGGGCAGCTATTAGGGGTAATCTAGAAGCTTGCACAGTCCTAGTAAAGGCGGGTAAGATGGAGGACTTGTTGGTCACTGATAGTAGTGGCCTTACACCTGAACAGCTTGCTTCTGATCAAAATCACAGACAAGTTGTTTTTCTCCTTGTAGGTGCCTTAACATATTTACTTTGGTAATAATTATTCTTCTGATATTTATTTGTTTTTGTTTTCAATCTTGCACTGTTCCAGCTCTTTCTTTTTAGTGATGACTGATAAACGCCCTGTGCAGAATGAAAGACATTTCTGACTTCTTCTGCGCACGTGTATTCATATAAATTTCTGGGAAGTGGGAACATCTTGAAATGATTGATTCCTTGAGCATTTGGCGAACTCAAAGCGTTTCCCTTACCTTTGTGCCTCATTAAGGTTTATGAAGCCGGGTTTCTCAAGTAATAGTAGTTTTGTTCTTAAATAGTGGAACCTTTACCCTTCCTTGTATAGGTGCAACATGGGAGCAGGATTTGAAAATTTTGTGGCTTCATTATGGAAATATTAGGGTTCCATTACTATTGATATTGATGGATATTTCTAGTTGTTTCAATTAATGCTGTAAAATTACTTTTTAAGTGGCTTTAATTTGTCTCCTAGCTGTTCTGTATCATTAGGGTTATGTGCTCATGAAATCAGCTGAATTATACCCACCTATTTATGTTCCTTTTACGTACAGATTCTGCAGGGAAATGCTAGAAGGCTGCTTGAAAAACAATGTGACGGGAACAGCCGTGTTGGACGATTTACAAGATTAAGACTTGCACCACTTGTGATCGTTGTGTTGAACAATTTGACCATCACTGCCCTTGGGTATCAAACTGTGTCGGCAAGGTGCTTTATGTCGGGTTTAATGTTTTTCCCCTTCTATAAATGTTAAGGGACTTGAAAGCTCTTATCAAACTGTGTCGGGTTTTATGTCGAGTTTAATGTTTTTCCCTCTTCTTTGGTGTGGCTGCGTTGACCGTTGAACAGCCTTCTCAGGTATGACATGAGCTTAGAGAGCAAATACATGATTTGTTCTCTCTTTGGGGACTCATTTTATACTTTTCTATATACAGATAGCTCGCAATATAACAACGAATGAAACGGCAAATGTCACGCGCTATAGCTACCTAAGGCGTACCGGCGGTCGATTTAGAAACCCATACGACCAGGGATGCCGGAAGAACTGCTTGGATTTCCTGATCGAAGGTTACAAAGAAGACATACAGGCCGGTGAAGATTCTGAAGGTATTGGGATGGTCCAAACGGGTGGGGATAATGGTGATTTGCGTGGTATTGCCATAAATGTGAATTCTAGCAACAAAAATGCACTTCATGGGCATGTTCATTCTTCCCAGTGCAGCCATGGCAACCATAGCAAGTCGGAGGAGACAGAGATCGGGACGTCGGGATCTGGTATTGGTAGTGACCGGAGTAGTGTATTTTCAGTATGAAATCGAACTGATTTGCATTGTATTATAAGCGTGCATTCATTCAATTTCAGATTTTGCTTTGCTTCTTTCTCCTTGTGGAATATATATATATATAATTTGCAGCAATGACATAAAATTCAACATCCATCCTTATATATAAATAAAATGTTGTTCTATCAAATTAGTAATGCATACAGTCAAATAATGAAGGCTTTCAAATTCATCAAAACTTATCCAACTTCTTCAACTTGCCAATGTATTCAATTCTGTCCTCATCAATCGCATTCTCTCTATGTCAACCCAACTAAACAAAATCTTACTGTATTCTCTTACAAGTGGTCGGGAATGTCTATAGGAGTGTTTCTGGCCTAAAACTTCGTTCGAAATGCAGAAATATTCTCGAATAACTCATTTTCAACCAAATATTTATGTTTGGAAAGTGATTAAACAAAAAAAAAACCCCGAAAACACGGTATCTTCACGTCGAAGAAAATTTGGAGAACCATTCTTAAACGAAGCAATATTTTCAACCATGGAGGCCTTCATCTTGTTTTTTTTAATCTTACTCGTCTTTTAAACAAACACGTTAAATGGAAATTCAAAATCTCATAATATTTTCAACGATGAGTGTTGAAGAAACATAGAAGATGGAAGGCACTACTACTAAACAATATTATCATCAGCCGTAAAATACTAAACAATGTTGTCTAATGAAGTAACACGCTATATTAATTAACTAAGATACGTCCAATATTAGACATACATCAGCCCTATAAAAAAACTATAAAAATAGAAGAATCAAACTGATCGTATATAACATTTATCATCCTTAAAAGTATAAATTATTGATGTCATACCAATAATTATATTATCTTCTTGACTATAGAGTATAATTGTTATTTTTATAAATTTTGAATTTGAACCCATCATGTATTAAAGATGTTTGAGCGGATCGAATAATAAAAATTCTTTTTGAATATGTAATATTTTATAAATATTTAATCTTATTCGAAAAGTGATTTTTTTTTCAATTTCCCAAAATTGATTTAGCTTTTAGAGTAGGTATGTGTCACTTGAACAACATCCCACATAATCTTCAAAACCTACATTATTTAATAAAAAGACTTACATTCATCTTCTAAATATTACGAGCGTAAATTTTGGCAATTTGATATTAAAAACGCCCAAATAAATAATTATTTAAAAAAAAAACCCTCCAGCTATTATTTGGAAGAATAACTCTTAAATCGTTCACATCGGACGACCTCGCGATCTGTAAACCGCGTATTAAATCATCGCACTCTCCAACACGCGATATACATCTATGGGCACACTTTCTAGGTAAGACAATAAAATAATTGGATAAAATGACATCGCGCATTGCAAAGCGTGAGGCAATCTTTATAATCCAAAATATCGTGAGATTTATGAAGGACCTCGCGACCTGCAAAGTGCGAGGACAATATATTCCCTACCCTCCCTTCAGTGTCTATAGCCTTGTTCGGATACTATTTCGGGTGAGAAACTATTTTTTTAATTTTTTTTAATTATAAACGTGTAATGTTGCAATTTATCTTTAAGGTGACTATAATATCAACATATATAAGACATTTTAAGCGGATTAAAAATGACGTTGAAAATGGTTAGAAACCATGGTTTTGTGAAGGAAGAAAAAAAAAATGATTTGATAGACATATTGGAATGTTATTTCTAGCTTATAAATATGAGTAATATGTGTTATTAATTAAAAAAGAAATAATGCAAAAAAACACATTTAATTGATACATGGGCCTGAGAGATTGGGACATTTGTTCTTCGTGTGTCCGGGATTCATACATATAGAACATAATTTTGGTTGTCCGATTCTTTCTTGATGTTCGAACAAATCCTTATCACAAAAAATTCGGGATGATCGTGGACGACCGATTTTTTTTCGTCGTAGTGCATAATCTGGCCGTATTGTAGGTTCATCATCAACTTTATCCGGATCTCATTTATTTCTAATGGGAGGGAACTTGTATTCATAAAGCTTGAATATAGTTTCAAGTAAGTAAACACGATCAACGAATCTCATGTAGGGTATCCGAATAGAAGAAACAATAGCAATAGTGTGCGCACACCGGTATTTGAAAGTTTGGAATAATCCGCACTCGCATGTTTTTTTCTCGTAAATTAACCACATATGCATTGTGTTGTATGCCTTCCAATGGCCTCACAAATTCTGATACACAGAATAATGACATTTCGCGGGAGAAGCATATATCACTCATCGCGTTAGAATGATGCTGGAATGTTTGCAATTTTCTGAGGAATTCTGGGTGGATTTGGTGGCCACGTGCCATCCAGTCAACTGCTTTCCTTTCCAAGGTTGTAGAAAGGGTTGTCAATCGATAATATATTGATTTGACAACAAACATAATAGGCAAACGACACACTCTCTTTGGTGATGAATTTATTGCCTCATTCAAGTTCGTTGTCATGTAACCATACCGTCTACAATTGTCAAATGATCCAAGTCATTTCTTCTTTGGGATTATAGCAAGGTAGTTGAAGCCCTCAAAATTCATGTGTCTCAGTTTATTCGTCAGGTTCTCAAACTCACATACGGACTGTGTGTAACCTATCAATAAAAAGTGGAACAATTAATTTGAAATAATTTTTGTAAAGATATGGTAAACCGAAAAGGGTAAAATATGTACCCATTCAAAGCACCATTAGACGCTCATCTTGATTCTTGAACTTCTGCAAATAGTTTGCGGCAATATGTCGTAAACATTATCGGTGATAAGTATTGGGAGGTTGGCAAGACGAGCACATACGTTGGAGTGCGTGTTTGATACCAAAGCCTCTGTAAGAAATAAGACAAATCCCATCATCTCTATTCTGCATCACATGTGATAGACCATATGTTTGTAAGTTCGTAAGGAATAATTCTCAAGAGTTGATATATTCCTTTTCGAAAATTGCGAAGGCAATGGAAATAGTTTTTCTGTTGTCGTCTTGTGCAACTGTCAATAACATTATTTGAGTGTATCGATGATATAACTAAGTACCATCAATTTGAACAACTGGCTTGCAATGTTGAAATGCATTAATACATTGCGGAAAAGTCCAAAAGCGCCGATAGAATTGGCAGACACCTTGTACAACACAATTATTTTCGTATGTTGGAACTGTTTCCAGTTTCACAATTGTTCCTAGAATATGTTTTTGCATCAGTTTAAGCCATGACCACAATTTATTGTATGATTCCTCTTATTGGCCGAACAATTTTTGTTGGGTCGATACCTTGCATACCATGCATTGTGGTAGTCAACTGTGTACCCATATAACAATGTAACTGAAGCAATACATGTCACAACCATAACACGTGGATTTGATTTGAGCAGCGGAATGAAGGCTTCAGAAAGCACGTGTACATCAAAGTTACGATGATCTTGATTCAGGATGTTGGCGGTGCATGTATGTGGTTGGATGTATTTTGTGAGTTTCCAAAGGTTGTTTATCATATTCAACCGTGATACACAAACCCTCCAATTATATCCCTACTTCTTGTGGAGACATTAAATGATGTACTTATTTGCATAAGTTTTTTCACAGTTGATGTGACGGAGTAACGTATTGTTGAAAACATTTTGATATTTCGATATAACAAATTAAGTTAAATGAATTTTAAGATTTCCCAAAAAGATTTTCTAAGTATATTCGATATAATTATTCGAATATCAAAATATTACTCCAAATCTTTCAAATGTTATTTTTAATCCTTACTCAAGTGTAAAATTAAGTTTTAATCTTAAAATAATTTCAAAACGATTTTACAAAATATTTCGAACCATTTCAAAGCCAAAAATTCCAGATTGCTTAGAGGGAACCAATTCTCCCCCAAGGGGGTACCGATTCCCCCTGAATGGTTTGACTCCGAGAATTCCAGTATGCTCGGAGGGAACCGATTCCCCCCACTGTTCAACAGTCGAAATATTTGAATTTTACACTTAGGGAACCGATTCCCCCTATGGGTACCGATTTCCCCACGCTCCAAGCTATTTTATTAATTGATTTCACACTAAAACGGCTATATTATCTTCATTAATGATCCCCAACGTTCAGAAGTGATTCAAGGTGTATTTAAGCAAGCTTAGAAGCCATTGATCATGTACAAGAAACATCAAGCAACTAGAATCAAGAGAGAATCAAAGAGAAAGCATCAAACCTCAAGTTTGAGCATTTCAAGCCTATTTTTCATTCAATATTCATTTTGCTTTCAAGAACACTTATTGTGCTCAATTGTATTCATTCTTGAGTGTTCTTTTCTTTGTTCTAGAATT